GAGGGAGTATGAGGGAATGGGAGGAAGTATGAGGGAATGTGAGTGAGTATGAGGGAGTATGAGGGAATGTGAGGGAGTAAAGGGAAGTAAGGGAGCAGAGGGAATGTGAGGGAGTGTAAGGGAGCAGAGGGATTGTGAGGGAGAAGAGGGAATGTGAGGGAGTATGAGGGAATGTGAGGGACTATGAGGGAATGTGAGGGAGCAGAGGGAATGTGAGGGAATATGAGGGAATATGAGGGAGCATAGGGAGTGTGGGGAGCAGAGGGAACGTGAGGGAGTAGAGGGAATGTGAGGGAGTAAAGGGAAGTAAGGGAGCAGAGGGAATGTGAGGGATTATGAAGGAATGTGAGGGAGAAGCGGGAATGTGAGGGAGTATGAGGGAATGTGAGGGAGTATGAGGGAATGTGAGGGAGTAAAGGGAAGTAAGGGAGCAGAGGGAATGTGAGGGAGTGTGAGGGAGCAGAGAGAATGTGAGGGAGAAGAGGGAATGTGAGGGAGTATGAGGGAATGGGAGGAAGTATGAGGGAATGTGAGGGAATATGAGGGAATGTGAGGGAGTAGAGGGAATGTGAGGGAGTGTGAGGGAGCAGAGGGAATGTGAGGGAGAAGAAGGAATGTGAGGGAGTATGAGGGAATGGGAGGAAGTATGAGGGAATGTGAGGGAGTATGAGGGAATGTGAGGGAGTATGAGGGAATGTGAGGGAGTAAAGGGAAGTAAGGGAGCAGAGGGAATGTGAGGGAGTGTAAGGGAGCAGAGGGATTGTGAGGGAGAAGAGGGAATGTGAGGGAGTATGAGGGAATGTGAGGGACTATGAGGGAATGTGAGGGAGCAGAGGGAATGTGAGGGAATATGAGGGAATATGAGGGAGCATAGGGAGTGTGGGGAGCAGAGGGAACGTGAGGGAGTAGAGGGAATGTGAGGGAGTAAAGGGAAGTAAGGGAGCAGAGGGAATGTGAGGGATTATGAAGGAATGTGAGGGAGAAGCGGGAATGTGAGGGAGTATGAGGGAATGTGAGGGAGTATGAGGGAATGTGAGGGAGTAAAGGGAAGTAAGGGAGCAGAGGGAATGTGAGGGAGTGTGAGGGAGCAGAGAGAATGTGAGGGAGAAGAGGGAATGTGAGGGAGTATGAGGGAATGGGAGGAAGTATGAGGGAATGTGAGGGAGTATGAGGGAATGTGAGGGAGTATGAGGGAATGTGAGGGAGTAAAGGGAAGTAAGGGAGCAGAGGGAATGTGAGGGAGTTTGAGGGAGCAGAGGGAATGTGAGGGAGAAGAGGGAATGTGAGGGAGAAGAGGGAATGTGAGGGAGTATGAGGGAATAGGAGGGAGTATGAGGGAATGTGAGGGAGTATGAGGGAATGTGAGGGAGTATGAGGGAATGTGTGGGAGTGTGAGGGAGCAGAGGGAATGTGAGGGAGTATGAGGGAATGGGAGGGAGTGTGAGGGAGTATGAGGGAATATGAGGGAGCAGAGGGAGTGTGAGGGAGCAGAGGGAATGTGAGGGAGTAGAGGGAGTGCAAGTGAGCAGAGGGAATGTGAGGGAGTAGAGGGAATGTGAGGGAGTAAAGGGAAGTAAGGGAGCAGAGGGAATGTGAGGGAGTAGAGGGAGTGTGAGGGAGCAGAGGGAATGTGAGGGAATATGAGGGAATGTGAGGGAGTATGAGGGAATGTGAGGGAGTATGAGGGAACGTGAGGGAGTAAAGGGAAGTAAGGGAGCAGAGGGAATGTGAGGGAGTGTGAGGGAGCTGAGGGATTGTGAGGGAGAAGAGGGAATGTGAGGGAGTATGAGGGAATGGGAGGAAGTATGAGGGAATGTGAGGGAGTATGAGGGAATGTGAGGGAGTATGAGGGAATGTGAGAGAGTAAAGGGAAGTAAGGGAGCAGAGGGAATGTGAGGGAGTTTGAGGGAGCAGAGGGAATGTGAGGGAGAAGAGGGAATGTGAGGGAGAAGAGGGAATGTGAGGGAGTATGAGGGAATAGGAGGGAGTATAAGGGAATGTGAGGGAGTATGAGGGAATGTGAGGGAGTATGAGGGAATGTGAGGGAGTAAAGGGATAAGGGAGCAGAGGGAATTGAGGGAGTAAAGGGAGTGTGAGGGAGCAGAGGGAATGTGAGGAAGTAGTCGGGAATGTGAGGGAGTATAAGGTAATGTGAGGGAGCAGAGGGAATGTGAGGGAGTAAAGGGAGTGCGAGGGAGCAGAGGGAATAAGGGAGTATGAGGGAATGTGAGGGAATATGAAGGAATGTGAGGGAGCAGAGGGAATGTGAGCGAGTATGAGGGAATGTGAGGGAGTATGAGGGAATGTGAGGGAGTATGAGGGAGTTTGAGGGAAGGTGAGGGAGAAGAGGGAAGGTGAGGGAGAAGAGGGAAGGTGAGGGAGAAGAGGGAAAGGAGTATGAAGGAATGTGAGGGAGCAGAGGGAATATCAGGGAGCAGAGGGAATGTGAGGGAGTAGAGGGAATGTGAGGGAGTATGAGGGAATGTGAGGGAGTATGAGGGAATGTGAGGGAGTAAAGTGAAGTAAGGGAGCAGAGGGAATGTGAGGGAGTAGAGGGAGTGTGAGGGAGCAGAGGGAATGTGAGGGAGTAGAGGGAGTGCGAGGGAGCAGAGGGAATGTGAGAGAGTATGAGGGAATGTGAGGGAGTATGAAGGAATGTGAGGGAGCAGAGGGAATGTGAGGGAATGTGAGGGAGCAGGGGGAATGTGAGGGAGTATGAGGGAATGTGAGGGAGTATGAGGGAAGGTGAGGGAGTATGAGGGAAGGTGAGGGAGTATGAGGGAAGGTGAGGGAGTATGAGGGAAGGTGAGGGAGAAGAGGGAATGTGAGGGAGTATGAGGGAAGGTGAGGGAGAAGAGGGTAGGTGAGGGAGCAGAGGGACTGTGAAGGAGTATGAAGGAATGTGAGGGAGCAGAGGAATATGAGGGAGTAGAGGTAATGTGAGGGAGTATGAGGGAATGTGAAGGAGTATGAGGGAATGTGAGGGAGTAAAGGGAAGTAAGGGAGCAGGGGGAATGTGAGGGAGTAGAGGGAGTGGGAGGGAGTAGAGGGAGTGTGAGGGAGTATGAAGGAATGTGAGGGAGCAAAGGGAATGTGAGGGAATGTGAGGGAGCAGAGGGAATGTGAGGGAGCAAAGGGAATGTGAGGGAATGTGAGGAAGTATGAGGGAATATGAGGGAGTATGAGGGAATGTGAGGGAGTAAAGGGATAAGGGAGCAGAGGGAATTGAGGGAGTAGAGGGAGTGTGAGGGAGCAGAGGGAATGTGAGGAAGTATGAGGGAATTTGAGGGAGTATGAGGGAATGTGAGGGACTATGAGGGAATGTGAGGGAGTAAAGGGATAAGGGAGCAGAGGGAATATGAGGGAGCAGAGGGAGTGTGAGGGAGCAGAGGGAATGTGAGGAAGTATGCGGGAATGTGAGGGAGTATGAGGGAATGTGAGGGAGTATGAGGGAATGTGAGGGAATATGAGGGAATGTGAGGGAGTAGAGGGAATGTGAGGGAGCAGAGGGAATGTGAGGGAGTAGAGGGAGTTTGAGGGAGTAGAGGGAGTGTGAGGGAGTATGAGGGAATGTGAGGGAGTATGAGGGAATGTGAGGGAGTATGAGGTAATGGGAGGGAGTATTAAGGAATGTGAGGGAGTATGAGGGGATGTGAGGGAGTATGAGGGAATGTGAGGTGGTGAGTGTAAGAGTTCAGAGGAGGTGAGAATGAGAGGAAATGTAAGAGGGAGTGTGTGAGAGGGAACAAGTGTGAGAGGGAGTGTTGAGCATGAGAGAGTGTGTGAAGGACTGTGAGAGGGAATGAGTGTGAATGGGAGTGTGCATTAGAGTGTGAGCATGAGAGGGAGTGTGAAGGGAAGTGTGAAGGAGTGAGTCTGAGAGAATTGAGAGTGTAGGAGGAAGTGTGAGGGAGCGTGTGATGGAATGAATGGGACTATTGAAAGTGAGGTGGTGAGTATGAGGGAGTGTATGAGAGGAAACGAGTGTGAGACGGAGTGTGAGTACTTGTGTGAGGGCGAGAGGGAGTGAGTGAGCTGCAGGCAGCTCCATACCCCGAACTTTAGGCTCCCCTTGTTTCTGCCCTCTGGACCCTGAAGAGCAAGCCTGACGGTGGGCCCATCTCTCCCCACCGCTTCGTGGGGGTCTCACTGGGCCAAGTACCCAGAGGAGTGGGTGGTGTGTCTAGGAGAACCCCTCATTGCCTAAGAGTGCCCACTCTTTCCTGGTCACATTTCCTCTGGGTGCTGAGCCGAAGTCCGTCCTCAAAAGAAGAGTAGCTCAGTGGCGGGGCCTGATGATGGGGCGTTTTTATTAGTGCTGGGACTCAGCCCCGGGGCACGGTGGCTGCAGGGAATGGCATGCGTGCAGGTACCCAGCACTCTGACCCATGATCCATGTGCCTCATTCACAAGCATCCCTGCCCACCTGGTTCCCACAAGTCAGGTGTGGGCAGGCCTGACGTGGCCAAGCAAAGGGGCCTCCATGTGGGTGGGGAGCAGCCCCTGCCGAGCGCATGGGAGAAAGGGTCACACCTGGGGCAAGGCCCTGGCCATGGCACCAGTGGGGGCCAGGGGATGTGCCTTGGGCCGTTTCCCAGCAGGCTGGGGTTCCGCCCACTCTCTAACCATAATTTGGCTTTTCTGGGAGCTGCCACGGCCACACGGATCACCAGATGGTCATCTGGAGATTCACACTCAGTTCAGTCAGGCTGGTGACCCTGTGAAGTTAAGGGGTCTCGCCTGTGCCCCTGTGCGCCCCCGTGGACGGGTTGCAGCCTCGCTCTGGGCCCAGTGGCTTCTTGCTCTCTCCAGCAAATGCTGCGTGGTCCTGGGCTGGGCCCCGACTCTGAGCGGTGCGGGTGTGGGTACCAGCTTCCCAGGATGGAGGGACAGGCGGGATGGGGCCTACAGAAGGGCAGAGAGGCCCCTGAGGCCTGACGGGGGCCCCACCATCACTGCTCTTCCTCAGACACAGCGGGGACAGTGGGGACAGTCAGAGATGCAAGGGGGAGGGGCATTGGAACCAGGGGCCCGGTCTGGTCAGGTGCTGGCTCAGAACCTGGAGGTACCTGGTCTCAGAGGTCCAGCCGCATCCTGTGGGGTGGGGGGTGGTGGCAGGAAGCTGCTGTTGGGGCTGCTAATGTCCCCCTCCCCGGTCAGGGTCAGGTCGGCCTCTGGCGCCCCCTCCATGGTCTGGAGGCCCCTCGCCTCGTCCTGCCCCACAGGAGGCGTCTGGGCTGGCGAGGAGGCTGTGTCGGAGCTGGGGCTGGAGGCTGGGCTCTCGGGGTGCTCGGGCGCGCTGGGGGGCAGGCGCAGGAAGGCCGGCAGGACCAGGTCCTCCTTCCTCAGCAGCCCGCGCTGGTCGTCGGCCCGGCTGCTCTGAGCTTTGGAAATAAGCTCAAAAAACTCTGTGGGAGGAAGGGCCGGGCTGGATGAGCCAAGCCCGGAGAGCAGCCTGGCCCCCCCACAGGAGCCCCTAGTCCTGTGCCCCCAGGGACTGCCCGGGCAGAAGGGAGGTACGAAGCGTGCTCTGGGCCTGGCTCTTTCTGAGCTCCCTGCAGCCCCTGGCACCCCAAGAGAGGAGGCCCTTGACGCTCAACCCTCTGGCCCCCCCGACAGAGGGGTCCCGACACGCCCCATCTGCTGGACACCACCTGCTCTGAGCCCCCTTCCTTGCCTGCCAGGGTCCTGGTGTGCGGCTCAGAGCCGAGCAGGGCTCAAGCATGTGCAGATAGTGTGTGTGTGTGTGGGGGGGGGTGAGACCCTGGACCTCACAGCGGCACACAGGGCCAGCAAGGAGCTCCCGGGGCAGGGCTGTGTCGCCTCTGCTCTGCTTCTCCTTCCTACGCCTGAGAAAGAAGCTTCAGTCCCTCTCAGCCTTGGGGCGTCTCCCCTCTCCTGTGGGCGGGGGGGGGGGGGGGACCCTCAGGCCAGTGGGCGGTGCCTGCCTTGGGCACTCCTGCCCACCTCACATGGAAACTGGGGGACGGTGCACGCGCCGGGGAGGACTGGCACCAGAGTACCAGCAAACACGCGAGTTGTGGGAGCACACATACCCTCGGCTTCGTCCAAATTAATTTTCTGACTTTTTTTTTTCCCAATCTTTGCAATAGATTCTTCTCTCTTTGAGAGCCGGGGCTCCCTAGCGTTCTTCCCGTTTTCTCCTTTTATCTTAATAGAATTAGACTTGCCTACAGCTCTGCCCTCTCCCTGCATGGAAGGAAAAGCCAGAGTTCCGCTCCCGCGGCCGGAGGGGAGGGGGTGCGGGGCGCTTGCGGGGGCAGGGGAGGAGTGGGTGGCCTCCCGGGCAGGAGGGGCGCTGGGCAGGAGGGGCCGGGGCCAGGCATTACCAGGGCCGAGGGGTTCCGGGAGCCTGAGCTGGCGGCTGTGCCGTGCTTGCTGGACACACCTCTGGGCTTCTCTGCGGCCACTGAACAGGGGTGAGGGAAGCACCAAGTGACCATGGAGCCGCTGTGACCGCAACACGCGAGGCGGCCAGGGCCCTGGACAAAACCTGCCGTGGTGCAGGCCTGTGTCTCCACGTCACGGTGGGCAGCCCAGGTGCCCCTGCATGGGGCATTAGCAGCCCTGAGACCCGCTTACCTCGGCCTCGGCTGGACTCCTTCTCCTCCAGGATGACCCGCTGTCCGTCCAGGCTGGCTATGGGGGCCCCCAAGTCCAGGGGCTCCTGCTCTCCACTCTAGGCAAGATGGGGCATGGGGTGGGAACTCAGCCAGATGAGAACATTCCAGAACAGTTGGTGACAGCAGCTGCCCAGCCAGAGGGAGGTGCCCAGTGGCTGCGGGGTTAGCCCGGGAGGGTCCCTGAGGTGGCTGCAGATCTCAATGCCCAGTCCCCGGCCCAGCTGGACACTTTGCCTGGCTCTTGACACTGGGGGGGGGGGGGGCTCATCACCTGCGGGAAGGGTGACACAAAGCTGGGCCCAGGGACAGGAGGCTGCAGGGCTGTCCACTTTTTGTGGGTGTTCCAGAAGGAACTGGGAGTAGATGTCCTGGTGGGAACGAGGGTCTCCAGGCTGGTGTGTGTGTGTGTGTGTGTGTGGTGGGGCTGGGTGAGTGGGAGAGGCTGTGCTACCTCAGCACCGGCCATGGGCACTCACCAGCCGGGCAGCCAGGTCATTCAGCCGCAGACCATACTTGGCCACCACGGGCCGCAGCACCTCGGTCACGGGCTTCGTGGGCTTGGCCTTGAGCCCCACCGAGCGGTTAATGGGTACGAGGTCAAGCCTGGGGGGCAGGATGAGAGACGCTGGGGCCAGGTGGCGGGGCCCCTGCAGGTGCGCAGGCGGGCGGGCGGGGCCCTCACCGGAACAGGGTCCGCTTCTCCAGCCGCAGCTCCCTGGCCTCCAGGATGCTGCAGTCCTGCTGTAGCACTAGTGGCTGGGGGAGGGAAGCAGCTCAGCAGAGGCCCAGCGGCACCCGAGAGCCGCCACGAGATGTGGCAAGGGGAAGGCGCACAGCTGCACAGAACAAAGGGAAACCCTCCAAGCCGCCCTCCGCCCCCGCCCCCGGCCGCTGCCACTGCCAGCCCAGGCTGAGAAGAGCTGGGGCGGGTACCTTGTCCCCGCCCAGAAGGAAGAGGTCCACAGCCGCCCCGTTGAGGCCGTGCCGCTCACACAGCCCGGCCAGCAGGTCCTTGATGGACAGCCCGGCCCTGAGCAGCACCATGCAGGCCGTGCCGTCTGGGAGCTGCACGCAGCAGTGCGGGGGACTCCGTTCTCGCTCAGCCGCTGACACCCTGCAGGCGTCCTGCTGGGGAGAGAGATGGGGGCACGGTGCGTGGGTCGCCCCAGCGGCACAAACACGGGTGCCTGTGTGACACACGATGAGCTCCAGCTGTGAGGGTGGGCGTGGGAGCCCCTCCCTAAGCGAGAACAATGCAGCATAAACGTCACCATGGGCTTCCGAGGACTGGGGGGCATCCACACAGTGGGGACACCCCGGCCCCGCAGCCCCACAGAGCCGGCACGGGGGGGGGGGTCCCACAGCCCAGGCTGAGCTGGGCACCAGGGACTCACCAGGTCCAGGCTTCCCGCAGACGACACTGAGGCCTGTGACTCCCGGCGGCCCAGGGCCCCGTTGGCGTGGGGGGGTTCTGGGGGAACACACAGGGCTCAGAGAAGCCCCCAACTACGGCGTACCCCTCCTGTGTCCCCTGGCGTGTGGCGCAGTGGCACTCCCCACCCCCCGCAGCAGGTGACAGGGCATCTGAGCCGGGTTCCTGGGGCAGGAGCCTCTGTGGGCATCACCCACCATGGGCGTGTGGATGGCCGCTGAGATCCTTCTTCTTCTGCGACCGGCCCGTGCTCCGTGCGCGTGACCAGGAGAAGAAGGGGCCTCGGCGCCGCCGCTCTGCCTCCTCCTCTGGCTCCTCGTCCAGGGACCGTCCAGATCGAGACTTGCTGCTGAGCTGCAGGGACGTCCACAGGCTCAGTCCTCAGCGCCCGGCCCCGGCCCCCCGCCCCAGGCCTCATTGTGTCGCTTCAGGCCAGGGCCACCCGGGGGTGCTGGGAATTGAACCCGGACCTGCCTCCCTGCTGTGCCATCACCCCACCCTTGGGCCCACCTTTTTTGGCGTGGACACGTTGGAGTGGTCCGAACCATGCCTGGAGGCTGGGCTGCTGGGCACCTGCTGGGCGTCTGGGAGGGGGCGGCCCTCCACCTCGGCCAGGATGCAGGCCTGGTAGAGCGGGGACTTGAGGAAGCGTGTGTAGCTGTCGAACTTCATAAGGTTGAAGATCTGCCAGAGGCCACACCGGTCAGAGACCACATCCCCTCTCCATCTCCGCAGCACTCAGAGACCCTCATCCCCCACGCCCCCCCTGTGCCCGCAGTGCTCAGCCTGGAGGGGACCTGGCTCAGACGCTGCACCACACTGCCAGTCATCTGTGCCGGGTCTCCTGCATGCTCTCTGATTGTCCCCTCACAGTCAAAACTGCCCAGGCAGCACGGGAGGACTCAGCCCTGAGCACCTGGGATTGGACAGGGAGCCCCAGAAATAGGGCCCCAGGAGTGAGCACAGTGCTGGCCTGCCTCCTGGGGCTCCCCATGCTGCAGCCCTGAGCACACTGGGCTCTAAAGGGCTGTCAGCTGGGGCCTCACATGGAGACACAGTGACAGTTTGTGTCCCTGTATTCCCCAGGAAGGCGGGGTCAGGGAGATGGAGAGAGGGACATGGGATGGCATAGGGGTTCCGGTGCCCTGCACAGGACCAGGGGCAGTGTGCCTCGGCCCGGGCTGTCACCTGCAGCTGCTGCTCCTTGAACATGTCAGGGTGTGGGGTGTCAAGGATGTCGGCGGCCAGCTGGGCCTGGCTGTCGATGTTGACGGGGGTGGTGGCTTTGCTGCACAGGAAGCGGCTGAAGATGTCCCGAGCCCTGTAAGAGAGCTGGGGGACAGGAGGGCGCGCATGGGGTAGGCAGCACACCGGCCCAGGGGGACCCTTGCCCCCTCACCCCAGGTCCCCAAGGCCTCCTCCCGGCCTCTGCTCCTCTCTGAGCTTTTTCCAGGGGTGGTTTTGGGGCGCAAAGGCCGGCGGCCGCTGGGGGGCACTCCCGCCCCACAATGCCCCGGGACTCACCTCCTTCTGGTCGTGGGCGGGCACATGGGTGAGCCCCTCACAGGCCTGCCAGAACAGGATGTTCTCCTCGCTGAACTCCCGCTTCAGGAAGTCCTGCAGGACACGGCACTGCTCACCCCGCCCGTGGCCCTGAGTCCCCTCCCCCCCACCCAGCACGAGGGGCCCCACTCACAGAGAAGTACTGGACCCCGAGTGGGTCCTGCAAAAGGCGCTCGAAGGACACGGCCCAGCTGGCGACCCTCCTGTCACGCAGGCGCCGGCAGCTGTGCACGCTGGGGAGGCTGGCGTTGCTGCTCAGGCTGTGCGTGCTGGCACAGTCCTTCAGGTCCCCGCCGCTCAGCTCTGCGGACAGGCCACCTTGACCACACACGCCCCCCGGGCCCCAACCCTCCTGCATGAGGTGGGGTGGCCCAAGCGGTAGCCTCACTCCTCGGAGGCGAAACAGGACATGGGCGGCTCCCGGAACATCCTGCCCACGCTGTCCCCTCAGGAGCTGGGTGCTCCCTTGCCACCTGGGGCAGCAGCCGGGACAAGGGCCACCTCCACCATTGGTGAGGCCCCGCAGAGGCCAGGCCACGGAGTCCTGCGGGCGCCCACGCACACGGGACGGTGGGAGTGACCAGGGCACAGCACAGGAAGAGCCCTTTGCGGACACAAGGTCCGTGTGAGCGGAGCGGTGCCCTGGGGCCTCTCTGAGCTGCCGCAGCCCAGAGTCCTCTGCACTGAAGCCCGGCCGAGCACAGAGGCCACACATGAGCCCTGTGGTGTGAGCAGGCAGACACTGTCCACGCTGGCAACCAGGGCTGGCTGCCGGGAGCTTGGCATCGCTGTGCGTTCCCACGCACAACCATCTAGAAGACCACATGTCACAACCCAACACTCGCCACCCATGTCCCGCCAGCCAGGGATGATGAGGGAAGCATCGATACATGCACGCAGTACATGCACATGCATGCCTCTTCACACTCTCATCCATGCACACGTGTTCACGCTCGCATCCATGCGTGTGGAGAGCATACTCATGCACACGTGTTAACACTCGCATTCATGCAGGCGGAGAGCATATGCATGCACACGTGTTCGTATTCCTGTCGACACATGCAGAGAGCATACGTATATGCACATGTGTTCACACTGCTGCTCACATACATGCTTTCACATGCACAAACAGGCTCATCCTCCCATTCTTATAATCCACAATCTCATGCACTCAAACTTACATACATCTGCACGCACAGACCGTACACACGCATGCTCACATAGAAAAGCATACATAAACACACAATGCTCATGTATATACACATGTTTGTATGCACACACATGCATATGTGCCCCATATACATGCTCACGCCCCCCCAGATCTATCCATCCACTTGTGCTTCACACATGCACACATGCTCACATTTTGAGGGGTTATGGGTGAGTCTGCCCTGGGAGGTGGTTCCAGTCCAGTATCGGAAATGTTGAGGACCCAGAGGTCAGCCCTCCCACCCATAGGCCACCCTAATTACACCCCAAGAGGGGCTATACTAGACCCGATATGCTGGGGAGATGCTCGGAGGAAAAGCAGTGAGCCTGGGGGCAATGCCGGAAAGCCTCCCGTGTGCTGGGGACTGTGAGCACCTGCGCCTTGGTCCCCTGGGACATCGCATGCTGCCCCCACCTTGGAAGAGCCAGTGCTCCTTCACTCAACACCCTGGGGTAGGCTTGCGGAGCTTGAGAGAGTGAGCTTGGGGGTGTGCAGGGGGAGGGATGGTGGGGAACTCCCCATACACAGAGCCCTGAGTGCCAGTACAGGCAGCACGGGCTGGGGGCCTGGGAGTTGGGAAGCACCAGCCGGGGTCTGGGATCTGGGAGCACGGACCGAGTCTGGGATCTGGGAGCACGGACTGGGGTCTGGGAGCTGGAAGCATAGACCGGGGTCTGGGAGCTGGGGAGTGGGGAGCACACACATGCATGCAGCTGGGGCCGGTGCATAGTCCAGGGCAGCTGGGGGCTGGTCAGGGAGCGGCACGCAGCAAGCACACCCCCCTCACTAGCCCGGGCCCCAGGAATGTGGGGCCTGGCACAGGGCTGCAAACCCACTCTGTCCTGCCCCACCCCGCCACCAAGTGGGCGGCAATCTGTGCTCCCAAGCTGGGCCGCCCCACCGTCTCTCTTTGCTCCTCTGGAGAGCAGCCCCCAACCTGTTCCGAGCGGGGCCTCACATCCCAGTTCTACTGTTTGTGGCTGCCGTTCTTGCAGGAAACCTCCCCAGGTGCTAATGTTCTGAACCCCTATCCCTCAGCTGAGGCAGGCAGCCTGGCGGCCGGCCCGGCACCCCCGAAACGTACGTGTGCCCCTCCCCCCTGCTCTAGGCCCCTCACACGTACCTGAGGTGCTGCCAGCCTCCCTGCCAACACAGACGCGGGGACTTTACCTGGGCACAGCTGGTAAGCGCCACTGTGATGCCACTTAACCAGGTACTTCCAGCCAGGCGCCGCAGGCCAGCCCCCTGCACCCATCCTGGGTCAGCCAGAACCCCAGGGGCGCTGGGCCGAGGCCCAGGCCCCAGGCTCAGGCGACTCTCTGCAGCCCCCAGCAGTCCCCACCGCCCAGGGAGATGCATACATAATTCAGGGCTGGACCTTCAGGCCGGCCTGCGCCTGACTGAATTATTCAGAGCAGGAAAGGGGGAAAGACAGCTGAGGGAGGACAGGCGGGCGCTCAGGACGCTTCCTCCCGACACTGAAACTCGACACTAATCCCAGAAACAGAAACTGACTTCTGCCTTCATCGGGAGAAGCTCTCGCAGTCTGCCCCAGGAGAGGGCCTGAGCAGACTCCAGCTGCCCTCTGCCTGGCCACACTGAGCGGTCGGGGAGACACACCCCCCTGGAACCAGGAACCGGAGAAGCAGGACCCAGGGCAGCTGGCCCCAAGCCCCTCCTCTGGGTCCCCTCCGGGGCCACCCGCCTCTCCCCTCCCCTGCAGCCCCTCCCCTTCCCTTCCCTAAAGCCCCTCCCCCATGCAGCCCCTCCTCCTCTCCCCCATGCAGCCCCTCCTCCTCTCCCCCTGCAGCCCCTCCCCTCCCTTCTCCTGCAGTCCCTCCCCTTCCCGCCCCTGCTGCTCCTCTTCTCCCCTCCCCTGCTGTCCCTCCCCTCCCTTCCCCTACAGCCCCTCCCCTGCAGTCCTTGTGGCTCCACCTTGCACGGGCACCCAGTGGGCTGGGCTGAGGAGGACACAGGGAAGATGCCAAGGCCCTTGGGGCTGTATGTGGCGCTCCAGAGCTTGGAAAGGCTGTGTGGGCACTCAGTGGGAGCATGCGGGGTCTCCACTCCCAGGGGCTGTACCCGCACTGCCCAGACCCCTCCCCTCCTGAAGCCCCCGGGGTCTTCAGACAGCTCTCTGAGTGGAAATGTGAGCAGATGGGGCCAGGCTCGGCAGGCAGCTGTGCTGAAGGGCGTAGACGGCCTGCCGCGGTGGCAGTGGCCATGCCGAGCGCCCCACACCGACAGTGGCCCCCACCCCCGTGATGGCTCGTGGAGGACAGCCTCGCTCTCGCACCCAGGGGCCTGCGTATCCGTGGGCATCCCCGTGCCCAAGATCGGCACATGAGGGGGTCCCAGTGTCGATCTGGCCAGGAGGGGGCTCAGCTGCCCATAAAACGGTGGCGTCACAGGGACGCTGGCAGGGAAGGAACTGACTCACACCCACCCTGCCCTCCATGAACTGTGGCCATCACGGGGTTGGGGATGCCAAGACCTGCCATACTCTCCCACGCTACTCCCACATGACCCTCCTGTGACCCTCCAGTGCGTGGGCCTCAGGCCTCTCAGTGAGCTGTGCCCTGCACTGGGGCCCTTCCATCCTGCCAGGCCTGCTGGGCTGTCCCCTCACTCCTCTATGTTTCCTGCTTGCCCGCCGCCTCCCACCACCTCATCTCGGTCCTTCCCTGTCGGCTCTCTCTCTGCCATGCTCCGTGCCCTCCGGCCGCCTCAGCCACAGAGCCTGGTCTCCCAGTGGCCATGGCCCCGGGCCCAGGGCACAGCCATGTATGGACCCGACATGTAAGTGCTCCAGGGCCATGTCCACTTAAGGACCTGACACATAAATGACCCAGCACCACAACCCTATATAGACCCAACACATAATTGAACAATGGCACATGCATGCGGGCCATCTGACGTCAGAATCCCCCCAATGAACACTGGTCACCAAACCACATGCAAAATGGCACAAGGTCCCGCCCGGGCACTCCAGTAAATGTGTGACCATTGGCCGCTTGTCGGGGAACTGCCAACAAGCCATGTGGAGGACTCCACAGGGGCTGTGAGGAGGACAGCCAGAGGCCCCAGAGCCCCCCGAAAGACCAATGGGGCTGGGTGCAGGGAACAGGCAGGGCCCATGGATGGCCACGTCCCAGTGCTCTTCAAGGGGCAGGCATGCCTTTGGTGCGAGTGGGAGGCGAGGCCACATTTGGGGTGACTGGCGTAGTGCTCTCCTGTAGTGCTTACTGTGGCCTCACAGCATGGCCAGGGACTTTCCCGTGTTGCCCCCTGCGCCATCCCACTTTGACGACAGAACCACCTCAGCACTCGCGGGCGGCATGGCCTCGTGTCCAGACTCCTGAGGAGCAGGCGATGTCCACATGTGAGAGGGAGGACTCAAGGGGTGAGGGGGTGAGAGGCCGAGCCCCCAGGCCAAGGACGAAGAGAAGGAGTGCGGGGGTGAGTGCAGGCGAGGGCTGGCTGCAAGCTCCCTTCCTCTTTCATTTCCTACCGCGGCATTGCCTCAGAACAGAGCAAAGCCCACATGCCCAAGGCTGCTGCCCAGAGAGGCCAGAGAGGAAGCGCCCCCTGCCCGTACTCACCACAGGGACGCCAGCCCAGACTAAACAGCAGCCATGAGAGAGGCGCTTTCTCAGGCCCGAGTCAGGCAGAGAAGGAAGAGGAAGAGGGGCCCGAGAGGGCAGCAGACCCGGGCCCCATCCCTATACCACAGATGGTCTCCCCAGCCCCGCCAGGAATGAGTCCTGAGCACCCTTGTGTGTGCCTCCACCCGCAAAGGGGAGGGAAAGAGCCAAGAAAGGCTCTTAAAGGCTTTGCCAGCCCGGAGCATCCTCAGGGGCAGGGATGAGAAGTCAGGGTCGGAAGGACAAGCCCAGGGCAGGCCCCGGGGGTGGGGGGACACGGGAAGGTACAGAATGGCCGTGCCAGAGACACAGGGATGGAGGCCACGAGGGATCACAGACGTAGGCAACTGGGAGGCAGACGGACAGAGGGCTGGAGGGACTGACGGGGGGAGGTGGGCACGGGGGGATGCGTGGGTGGGGGGACCATTGGATGGAAGGTGAACAGACAGATGGATGGGCTGATGAAGGAAGGAAGGAAATATAAGATGCAAAAGGCAGACGCGAAGTCTGTTCTGGAAGAAAATACAGGAGAACCGCGGACCCTCAGTGCCCTGGGAGCTGACCCTCAGAGGGCTGAGGCAGCACCGGCCCAGAGGCCGGGGAGAGTCGCCTCTTCCATCGGGTACAAGGGCAGTGGAGGGGCAGCAGAGGGAAGCAGTGCCATTCAGGATGCAGAGCAGGGGCCGAGCAGGGAGCCTGCGCCCACCGGCCTCTGGGCTGCTCGCTGCCAGTGCTTGTGGGGGTTGGGGGGCTGATGGAGTTCAGGGGCCCCTGGGCTCCATCCTTACGCGGGACACTCGTGCTCTGGACTCGAGTCACCTCCCACCCTGGGTTGGCTTTTTAAACCATTCTGTTTCACTATCATTGTACTGGCAGAGAGGTCTGTTTCCTGAAATGGTGACTAAGTAACGTGAAGTGGGGGTCGCAGTTTAGGGGCAGAGCTGGCGGGATGCTCTGGGAGCCCCAGGCTGGGCCCAGCACTGTGTCCCCTGAGGCCTGCTGGGGATGACCTCCAAACAAAGACCTTGCTTTTGGGAGTAGGGAGGACGGTTCAAGGGGCTGGGCAATGCAGAAACCCAGCACTGTATGGTCCCCCAAGCACCACTGTGCACACAGCTAGAAGGAGGACTCTGTGCAGGGCATGACCCTGAAACCAGAATATCAAAACTAAAGAAGGCCAGAGGGGCCGGAGCGATAGCACAGCGGGGAGAGTGTTTGCCTTGCACGCGGCTGACTGGGTTTGATCCCCAGCATCCCATATGGTCCCCGGAGCACCACCAGGAGTAATTCCTGAGTGCAAAGCCAGGAGTAACCCCTGAGCATTGTTGGGTGTGACCCAAAAAGAAAAAAAAAGGCCAGAGAGGAAGCACAGGGGTAAAGTGCTTGCCTTGCATGTGACTGACCCTGACTTCATTCCTAGTAAGGCGTAAGGCCTCCTGAACACAGCAGGAGTGATCCCTGAGTACTACCGGGAATGATCCCTGAGCACTACTGGGAGTGATCCCTGAGCACACCAGGACTGATCCCTGAGCACAGAGCCAGAGTAAGCCCTGAGCACTAGCAGGTGTGGCCCCAACTCCACTCTCCCCCAAAAATAAAAAACAGGATTTAAAAAGTTTTAGAGAGCTGTTGGCACAAGCTGTCGAGCTGTAGTGCTCTGTGCCCATGTCCACCTCTGAGCCAGCCCACGGCGGGGCCCCCTGGCAGGGCTCATCTCCTGTGGGCTCCTGTGGGCATGATGGGTGGCCAGCACTCTGCGGCCTCCCCAGCAGGCCCTGCTTTTATGCAGGAGGCCCTGACCCTCACCAGCGGCGTGTGCAGGAGCTGGGTCTGCTCACGCTGAGACCTGAGGCGAACCCGAGGAGAGACGATTCTCGTGCTCCACAGCGGCCGGGGGCACAGCCAACCATCCCAGGGTAGCTCGGCCTCTGCTCAGAGACCTCGGGGGTTCCCATCACAGAAAAACGGTCTCTCTGGGAGGTTGCAAAGGTGCTAATTAGCCGATGTGGGGGTGAGATGTGGACATTGCAAATTACCACGTTGTGCCAGTTCGACACATACTCTTTTATTTGTTAACTTCCCCTCAGTAAGGCAGGAGAATGAAACAGAAGCAGGCTGGAGGCTGAGCCCAGTGCCAAGGCAGGCCGTGCTTGCAGCCAGTCCTGGTCTGCTCCCCAGCACCCCGAAGTCCCACCAGGAGTAAGGCCTGAGCACGGCCACAGTGGCCCCCGAAGTGAGTACGTATGAAGGTACTTGTCTGTGAGGCGAGGCTCGGGGCAGAGCATGTGCTGGTCTGCACCTCACACACAACAGCCTGAACCCAATGCGGGGCAGGGGGGCTGAAGTAGTTGCTGGTTAGGGGCAAGTGGGAGCCCCCCCGCTGGCCCGGAGCCCCCACAGGACAGGGTTCATCTCTGCTCCAGGCCTCATCCCAAACACCGTGCTCCAGTGCCCCAGCTCAAGAACAAGGTGGGTCCCCAGTACTGAGCCACTGGACGCAGCTGAGGGTCCAAAGGAGTCGGTGTTAAGCGTCAGTTTTGCCCTTACATCGGCATCCTAGATGGGACGAGCCCCAGGCAGGTGGCAGACACGGAGAAGCAAGGGGACCCTCCAGCTTTCCAGTCACCTCAGCCTCCTAGAGAGGAAATGATGTGCCGGCAGTCGCTCATGGGAAAGGGGCCCCGGAGAGAAGCCGGGTTGGAGTGGACAGATGCCGAGTCCATGTCCACTCGGAAAAGAAACCACCCAGCGTGGGCTTCCGCAGATTCTGGCGTTTTGGGAAGAGAGTGACAGGAGCACCTCTGGGTGTGGCCCTGCTCTCCCCTGGGCCTGGTAGGCGATGCTCAGGGAGGACTCCTGGCTCTACACTCAGGGGTCACTATCGGAAGGGCTTGGGGGACCATACGGGATACTGGTGATCGAATCCTGCTTGATGGCGTGCAAGACAAGAGCCCTCCCTGCTCACTATGTCTCTGCTCTTGGCTTGGTCTTGGGGTGGGGGTGGGGGTGTTGTTATGTGCCTCAACGAGGGAGGAGCAAGTTCAATTCCTGAGCACCACCAGGGAGAGCCCTGTAAAAAGGGTTTATAATCACAGGGCCGAAGAGAGAGGACCGTGGGCAGGGCACTTGCCGTGCACGTGACCAACCCGGGTCCAACCCCTGGCACCACTTCTGGTCACCTGAGCCCACCAGGAGTGATCCTTGAGCAGAGAGCCGGGAGGAAGCCTTTAATTATAGGAGTGGGCAGGAACGGGGACGAGGAGAAGGGACACAGGTGTGGGGGTGGCGCAGGGGCCTCCAGCCAAGAGCACTTCCTTAGGGAGCCCCCACAGGCACCCTGGGCCACCCTCAGTGCATGTGGGACTGAACACTGAGGAGCTGCCAGGGAAGGTCCCTCAGATGGGCAGAGCAGACGCAGTCCCCAGGCCGAGCGCCACTGCCCGCTCCCCCCTACCTGCCCCCTCCGCCCCTCTACAGCCAGGCCTGCGCCCAGCCAGCTTTTCCCACGCGGGGCTTAAGGCGCGTGGATTTGGTGACAGATTTGGTGACAGATCCCTGAGGCCAGAATCCAGTGAGGCAAGTTCCTCTCCTTCACAAAGGCGCAACACAAAGACAGCTCTCCCTGCCGGCCGGGCTGGGCCAGGCACTGGAAACCCAAGCTGCCCCCTCCCCGCCCTCCATTCCAGCAGGGCTGGGCACAGGAGAGGCACAGGTGTGGGCCCCGGCGGCCATCCGGGCCAGAGAAGTGCCTTCCTGTGGCCCGGTCTGGCGCCCGATCTCTCAGCACTTCCTGGGCATCTCCTGTGGGCGCCCCTGACCCAGGCCCAGCCCGGCCGCAGCCCGTGCACCCCTGCTCACACCAGTGAGGGCACCTGCTGTTCCAGCAGAGACCCCGGGCCGGGGCCGAGCCGGACGGCCGCCCCACCACCCGGGCAGAGCTGTGTCCCGGTTCCTCATCCCCCACAACACCTTTCCCCTTTCCTGGTCAGAAGGGGAACTAGAGCCCTGGGCACCTCGGCCCAACCTGGGGGCTGGGGCCTGAGCGCAGCCGGAGCCCTGCCCTACTCCAAATCTGGTTCCATGGCGGGGCCAACGAGTCCCGGCTTGCCTGTCACTCTCCACCAGGCCCCCAGGCCCCCCATTCCTGGAAAGAGGCTCTCCCCACCACAGGCGTGAGCTGATGGCTGCACGTTGGGCCCCCCGTGGACGCGAGCAGTGACTTACCCCCGTCGGACACGGCTGCAGACTGCAAGAAAAGAGAGAGAGACATGAGTTACTCGGTCCTCACGGCGCCGTGCCTGGCTCTCCAGGTGGGGACGCAGACTTCTGAGTCAGGGGCGCTCCCACTTCCTGAGCGGCTCCGCCCAGGCCCCTGCGGCACTTCTGGGACTCGGCACCACGGAAGTCATCCCTGGCGGATCCCGGCAGATCCCAGCACGTAGACAGGGCTTCCCCCAGGGGACGCCAGCAGGGGGGGCTGCACTCCACAGGGGGCTGAGCCAGAGGGGAGGAGCAGGGAAGGGTGGGGGCAGAAGAGGGGTGGACTTGGGGGGCATACAGATGCAGAGGCGGTCCCTGGAGGTTCTGGGGCTCCCCGGGACGGGACTAGTGGAGGTGGGGGTGCACGCGAGAAGCACTCAAGCCCAGACCCCTGACCAGAGCCGCTCTGGATTTCCCTCCTTTGGGTCTCAGCCTGGCAGGAGACCAGCCCTAATCGGGACCGGCCGTGGAGGCAGGGGTGAGAGATGACTGGAGGGGAGTGTGGGCTGCAGCGAGCACCCCCACCCCACGGCCCCTCCTGATGTGCTCCCGCAGGCCTCCAGAGGGGCTGCCGCCTGAGCCCAGCCCTTGGGTGTGTCTCCGTCCCCACCCCCCATCCACATCCTTTCCAGGAGTGACACAGGCTGACTCTCCTGGTGCCACGTCCCCTTGGGGAGCCAGGAAGAGCTTGGAGCCAGGGATACCCCCACCTTCTGCGGGGGACATAGTCCCCGAGGGCCACCCAGGAGACTACCCAGGAAGTGGGAGCCTTAGCTCTGGCCAACACCGTGAGGGGCACAAAGTGTTCTCTGGGCTTGGAAGGATGCAAAGGTGCAAAAGTGCATCCGGGGTGGGTCCTGGCTATCCAGATCCCCAGGGGCACCACCAACAGGTCAGGACTCAGGCTTCCCCTCGGGTGGGAACGGTGCTCTGAGAACAGTGCTCCAGAAGCTGCTCCCCAGCTGCCCCCACGGCCTCCCACAGTGACACAAATGCCAGCCCCAAAGCGGTGCTGAGTGTGGCGAATATGCCCCCAAAATGGGAAACTGCCCCGAAGTCAAGCTTGTTTTCCAGAAAGGGCTCAGAGTACCACATGACCCTGCCGCCCAGCCCCACACGGGCACCACTGAGCCGATGGCGGCCATGCTCACAGAGTCACAGAGCCAGGTGTGAGGAGTGCATGTGGGTGAGTCAGTGCCGCTCTCGGCCACCAGCACCACTTCCCGCTCTTGGCAGAAGGCCCATCTGCTGCTAAAGGACAGGCAAGCGGCCCAGACACCTGCGTGTTGAGAATGAGAGTGGAAATCTCCCCGGTGCTGGGAGAGCTCGACTGTCACCTCTCAGCTCACACCGAGAGTTGTCGCTGAACCCTGATGAGGACGTGCCTCGGGAGGGGACAGCGTCAACGGGCCACAGAGCACTTGGGTTCCAGGTGGGCGAGGTAGGATGGGGGGGCGGGGACTGAGGAACATGGGACCCCCAGCTCTGCAACTACTCATGGGACCACGCCCAACTCCCCCGGGCATGGTGCAGCACTTTCCCTCACCCTGGCTGTGCCCTCCGCAGGGGCTGGGCTGACCTCCCGGACAGACGCCACTAGACACAGGCCGAGGCTGAGAGGAGGAGGCTTCCTGGGACCATGCTCACCCTGAGCTCCAGCACAGCTCTGAGCTTCGGGTGAGACTGTGGAGGCATGTGCGGGTGCCTGTGCACATGTTTGTGCGTGTGGTGTGCGGGTGACTGAGTGCAGATGTGTGCATGTTTGGGCCGACTGTCCGCTGTAACCTGCCGGTCGCGCTGGCCCAGGCTGTGCTCTGCCTCCTCCACAGTCTCCCTGAGCATGCCTGTGCCCTCGGGCAGCTGCCTGGACCCTCAGTTACAGGCACAGGAAAGACAGCTCCATCCACCCGACCTCACAGGAGCCCGAACTCAGGGCTGGGCTGCAGGACATACACACACACACATGCACACACGTGTGTGCATGCACTGGCCATGTGAAGAGGGGGCACGCCCACGCCATGAGAGCTCTGTGAGAATGAATGCACACGTGCTAGGGAGTCCCTACGGACACACACACCCTCCCACATGAAAGCAGCATGCACACACCAGGGCTGACCACGTAATGTGTGTAGACCCATGCACATGCACACATGAGAGCACTGTAGAAACTCAGACTGCATACATGTGAACATGCACACTTGCACCGAGCCATGTGCTAACAGGCACCCCAATGCCAGGTCTGCACCCAGGTGTGGTATCCCCCAGGCTACCCTGTTCACGCACGTGCAAACAGGGACACAGTGTGCCCATGTGCATATGCAGAGGTGGGCAGGACACGAAGAAGCTGTAAGGCACCCACTTCCATGCTGGCCTGAGACACGCAGTGCCCACCGTGCCTGTGTGCTGAGTCATGGGGTGAACACACGTGTGTGTCCCAGAGAACGCGGAGATCTCCACTAAGCACTGACGTGCCTGATGGGAAGATGCGGTGCCCGAGTCCTCCCAAACATGTGCCACCTGGAGCCACCACAGTGGGGACCTGAGGCGGACTGTGGGCAAGACGAAAGGGCCTGAAACTGCGGGCAGCAGGCCTGACCCTGGACAGCAGCAAGGTGCATGGTGCCGGACTGAAGAGAAAGGCAGATGCTGGTGACAGGCCCCAGGACACACCCTGCTCGGGGCTGCCCATGTCCAGGGGAGTACATGCTGGCCTTCCGGGCTTCTTGGGCAGGAAATGTGCTCAGTGTATCCCCCAGAGACTGCGGGACAGTGCACCCTTCCTGTGGCTCCAGCCCAGGGGCGCTGACTCCCCACTCTCACCCCAAGGCAACAGCTCAGCCCCGGGCTGGGCCTCCATCCGGTAGGCAGCAGCTCAGGCCGAGCTGGGGAGAGCCTGCCCTGGCCTCACTCCTCAGCCCCACGAGCACATAGAACATGTGTGACAACCCAACACACGTGCTATACAACAGCACAACATGTGTGCAGCATACATACAACACACACATGCCATGCACACACCACAGTTCAGCAAAGCACACATATGCCATGAGCACATGACAAGAAACAATGCAACAGAACACACATATGCAGTTTACACGTGGCACAGTCCAACTGATACCACAAATGTGGATCATTTCACATGTGCTGTGCAACACGTGGCATGCCATATGCAGGATGTGCTCCAAACCCACCCTCATCACACACACACACACACACACACACACACACACACACACACTCCACTGTTGTCCTGGGGCTGAGGCTGGAGCTCAGGCAGAGATGCCCGGGTGCCTCCGAGAGAGGCAGTCCCATTGGGGTGTGGCACGAGGAGACGTGGTTATGTGTCTCCTGGTCTGTCATTAAAAGGGGGTCTCCCAGAGCCCACAAGGACACGTGTTGACCCTGGTGTCCCAGGTGCAGGCCCTGAGCTCAGACATGAACTGGTGTGTACCACAGGTGCCCCACCTCTCAGGGAACCCCCACTCAGCCACACATGTCCCCCAGGCCAGAAGAAAGGTTGCAAGTGGCCAGGTGGTGAACTAAAGGAGCAGAGGAAGCAGGGAGGAAGGAATCTGAGCCCAGGGTGTGGGGCAACGTGGGCAGCCAATGCCAGCTCCTCCGGCCCAGGATACGGGAAGGAGTGGCCAGTGTGGGGAGCTGCATTCGTAAGCATGGACTAAAGCGAGGATCTGTGGAAGGCTGTGAGCCGGGGGACTACCGAGCTGTGGTGGGGGATGTGAGTCCAGTGGGTGGGGTGGGCAGTGCCCAGATAGTGCTGGACACCCCCAGCAGAGCTTGACCCTGTTCTCTTGGCCCCAGGGCTCTCAGGCAACAGCTGTGCTGGGGAGTCTGGATCCTGCTCTGGGGTCTCCCCTGCCCACTGCCCGTCCACTCGAGCATATGGAGGGTCATGGGCAGGAGTCAAGCTGTGCTGATGGCTGACCCTGCACTGTTCAGCTGCAGCACTGCTGCCCAGCCCCAGGGAGGCCTTAGGTCTCTTACATGGGTGTCTGCACTGCCCTGCACCACCCCCAACCCTGTGCCCTAGGGTGCCAGTGTCCAGAGACAAAGAGCTCAGGATCTGTCCCCGAACTGGCGGGTCTTCCCAGGGCAGGGCTGCTGGGCTGCTGAGGGGCCGCGGGGCTGGGGGACTGGCACTTCTGGATCAGCTGCCAGAGGACCAGCAAGTAAAAGGTGCAGCTGAAGAGAGCCCCGACCTTCGACCTTCGGGGAGGCTCGTGAAGGCACAGTCTGGAGAAGTACTAAGGCTCAGAGCAGATCAGACTGGCTGGTCCCCCAAGGGGGCAGCATCCTCATGGCTATCGAGGTCACCCTCCCCCGCAGGGCATCCTGACACCCAGCTCAGCCTCTTCGGGAAGGAAGGCTGTGTGGAAGAGGGGGTGAGTGCTCCTGTTCCTTCCCCCACACCCCTGCCCCACTGCTACGCAGAGGTGGGCACAGGGCCAGCTCCCAGTCTGGCCGGCTCTCACTAGGGAGCAGCACCTCTCAATCCACACTGAGGGTGGGGCTGGCACTCAGGACCTGGGCTGCCTCCCACACACACCTGTGCCCGAGCTCCCACACGCTGCCCTGTTCCTCTGGTCCTGTGGCAGAGCAGGACGCGGCCCAGTTCACCCAGGAGCCCAAATGAGGGACTGGGGAGGACGCAGAGATGAAAGTGGCAGTTACCTTGGGACTCGGTCCCGGTCCTGCGAGGGCCAGCGTGGCTCGGGCGGCCGTGGGGTCCGGGCAGTCGAGTGGTCCTGAACTCTGGGCATGGATTCACCCGACTGCCCTGAGAAGGGACGGAAAGAACTGGCCGTGCATGTGCAGTTGCTGGCTGGGAAACCTCTAAACCCTCTACAATCACCAGGGAGAGACAGCGCACCCCAGGTTCCCACCTCTATGGGGTTCTCCTCACACTGCCCAGGCAGAGGACATGAGACCTCGCTCAGTGCTCCGTGCGTCAGAAACCCACAGCTCCCACCTGGAAGTGCCCAGCGCGCGCCCAGCAAGGAACCCTGACTCTACTCTACGTGCGCTCCCGCGGCCAGGAACCCCGCGCATCTTTACCTGCTCCCCCAGCGCCTGCCCCTCACCGGACACTCCCTGCTCGGTGTCCATCGCTGGCTTCCCGGGAGCCTGCCCCTCGCCGGACATCGCGGGCTCCCCCGGCGCCTGTCCCTCGCCGAACACTCCCTGCTCGGTCTCAATCGCGGGCTCCCCGGGCGCCTGTCCCTCGCAGGACACTGCCCACACCGGCTCCATCGCGGCAGAGCGCGCAGTGCCAGCGCCGCCCTCCGGGGCTCTGAGGAGCGGGTCCAGCGCGCGCGCCCGAGCGCAGCGTCAGAAACTTTGAAGGCGCCGCCGCCACCCCGCCTCGCCGCGCACCCCGCCTCGCTCCCTGAGCCCTGGCACCCCGCCGTCGCCCAGGACAACGGACAGGGACGTGCAGGAAGCTGAGGTCTCCCTGGGCTCAGGCTCCATCTCAATTGTCTCCCAAGAAAAACAGCGTTTACATAAATCAAGCTGTGAGATCACTTTTTAAGTATTTCCTGTACAAATCGGAAGCCGGCAGGGTAATTTCCCTGTCAGGTCAGGAGCCAGCCAGCCTTAATACAGTTTGCACCGTGAGCACGCGCAAGGGCCTCGGCCAGGCTCCCCGCACAGGCTGGGCCACTCCCACCCAAAACCCAGACTCAGACCCAGACCCAGACCAACAGGGAGCAGAGCTCATGGGCTGAGGAAAAAAACAAGGCAGGAAAATAGACCAAGTTCAGGCTTTATTGAAAAACTTGGAGACTCTGGGTGTGCCTCTCACTACAAGGGCCTCCTTGCGACCCTTATAGCACTGGCCATTGGCCATGGGGTCCACCATGAAAGCACCCCAGGGACGCTGCTCCTTCAGGAACATCAAGTGGAGACTTCCCGGGATGAGCCTTGGCCAGGAACCCCAACAGTGAGGGATCTGGGGGTTCCTCCTCGGCTTCAGCACATGGCTGAGGCCGCTGAGCTGGCTTTCCTGGGGGCCCCCGGGTGGCAGCCAGCAGGGGGTCACAGCACCCACTGCACCCCCTGAATGGCGCTCGGCTTCCTCCTCCAGGAGAAAGTACCCTGGCAACACCTGCCCACACACACCAGCACACACACCTGCAGAAACACACTCACACCCACATCTACACACCCCCCACACCTGCAGAAATATACATACACACCTACACATACACCTGCACACACCTGCAGAAATACACATTCACAACCCACACATCTACACCCCCCATACCTGCAGAAACACAAATGCATACCCCTACACATACCTGCTGAAACACACACCCAAACCTACACACACGGGCAACACACCTGCAGAAATACACCCACATTCACCCACACACACCCCTGCAGATACACAAATTCACACCTGCACACCCCACACCTCCCTACACATACCAACACATCTGCATACCAACACACACCTGCACTCCCCATACACTGACACCAACATACACCTGCACACATGTGCACAACCCTCATCACCCACACAGCAACAGACCTCCAACACAACACCCTCACACACCTGCACACACACACCCTCTGCACATACCAACACACCTGCATATCCATACACTCACACCAACATACACTGCACACATCTGCACAACCCACATCACCCACACAGCAACACACCCGTAACACCCTCACCCACCTGCCCATACACCTGCTCATATACACCTGCACACATCCTTACACACACACACACACACACCACTCACTCCTGCAGACACCTGCACTCCCTATGCATACCCAGCCTCAGCTGTGACCTGTGGGACCCTCTGGTCTTCCTGAGCTCAGCTCAGTCCCCCATTCCCCTCCTTGCTCCATCCCCGGACCCTTATCATGCTACCTATAGAAGAGAAGGCCCCAGCCCGAGGCAGCTGGGCTCCAGGGGACTCTGGGTAAACTGTCTCAGCCTGGTGCCTGGCTTGAGAGGCGGCTCACAAGGGCAAATACCCAGCTATCAGGGGCAGCAGGAAACGGGCACTTTGCCCCAGACAGGGCCCTTCCCACCTTTCTACCTGCCTGTGAGCCAGCTGAGGGCAGGAAACATGGCGCCCCACCGCCCCCTGCTGTCCAGGCCCCCGCACTGCCGGCCCTGCCCACATCTGGTCTGTGCCCAGGGATCAGGTGAGAGGGTCTGACAGAACTGACAGTGACAGGAGGAAGCGGGCTGTGGGGGGAGGTCTGAGGATCTAGAAGAGGCAGAGAAGCCCTGTGGCAGTGACAGCAGGGAGGGGGCTTCTGTGCCTCCATAGCTGGACCAAGAGTTTCCACCTGGGCTAAGGCTGCTGGGAGGGTACCAGCCCCCCAGGAGGAGACCCCCAAAGGCTCGTTTCTTCTGTAGGGAAGGGGAGCCCATCTCTCAGGGGCTGCTAGCTCTGGAGGGTCTCAGGGCCTGACAGACTGATGCTGGGCAATTGGCAGCCCCGATTCTCCCTCTTTTCAAAGAGGGTTCACCAAAGGCTCAAGCACCAATGACCCTGTCTGCTTTTCCTGAGACCCACACAGTGCCTGCTCCCCGCCGGCCCACATGCCTTGAATCCAGACAGCAGCTCCCCATGGCACCCCAAAGCCTGGCCAGGGGGCTCAGAGGCTAGAGGGGGTGCCCTGGAGAGAGGTCCAGAGACCAGACTGCACAGGTGGCCAGGGGGTGTGCTGGGGGCCCCAGGAGTGGGGGCTGTCGGGGCTGTGCCTCCGGAACCCTGGCTGCTCCACACAGCACCTCACCCTCAGCCCTGAGCATGGGGGAATCCCCTGGCTCCACCATGGCTGCAGTGCCCAGACCCAGATCCGCGGGGCTCCCAGCTGTCCCCCAGATGTAACCTGCAGGCCCACATAGCCCCTCCATGCATCAGCACCAGGCAGGACCTCACGGTGCTGAGCTGAGCATCAGTGGCAGCACCTGTGACCTTTCACATGAGGTTCCCCCATCAAGGAGTCCTTGAGGGGTGCAGGGCTGTGAGGGAGGGGTCCGGCCTGGCATCAGAGGACAGTTCAGCTTGGAAGACGGAAGTCTCCAGAGACAGAGGCGCTGTTGGGGGCAGGAGCGCAGGATGACCACATGTCACTGCACTGTGCTGGGAAGGGGGAAAGGAGATGCCTGGTTGGGGCTCACTCCAAGCCACCAAAGCCCTGAAGGAGGCAGGCAGCAGTCACAGAGGTGACACCTGGGCCCCACCCGACATGCGCTCCACAGACCTGCAGCCTCTACCCCAGGACCCCGCAGCAGTGGGGGAGTGGGCCACCCAGGAGCAGGAGTGGGGCTCTGGAGTGTCCATGCCATGCTGCAGAGGGAGGCAAGGCCAGGCCAGTCCTGAGCCCCCCACAGTGGGGTGTGAGGGGCGCACTTTTACCAAACACAACTTCAAATGCCCAGTAAATGCCATTCGCTGGGACTGACGCCAGGTGACAGCGGAACAACGGACATATGGCTCCTTCTGAGTATGGCTGACTGCACAGCCTGACAGGGTCATGAACACGAGTCTGCCAGCACATGCAGCAAAGATGCTTCAGACACAGGAGTGGGGGGGGGGGCGCCCACGTACCAGTGGGCAAGAAAGCGGCAGGGGCCCCCATGATGGGGCCCCACTGTGGAGGGTCTGAGAAATGACAAGGACGATGATAGCGATGGGGGTACACTCACCTCTAGGTCATCCAGGGAGCGGGTGATGCTGAACCGCTTGGCTCTTGCAAAGGACCTGCGGGTGGCCGGGCGCTGAGCGGTCTGTGCAAGGCCGACCCCACGGCCCAGCCTGGGGTCCTGTAAAGAGGAGACATCCTTGAGCAAGAATGAGGGCGAGGGCGGGCACTCTCAAGCAGGGCCATGCGGGCTCATCTAGCCATCTGGATGCTCCCCAACTCCATCTCCTGGGCGGTGGGGGTCTCTCAGTGCATCCTGTGGAGAAGGTGGGCACAGTGCTGCCTGCAGCCCTCCAGAGCCAGCACCGAGGGTTCAAGCTCCTGCCAACTGCTGGTACCCGATGGCCAAGTGCGCTCCTTCCTTGCTCGAACCTTCACCCACTCCTGGCATTGCCATGTGTCCTCTGGTTTCAGAAGCCGACCTGCCCCGTGTGAGGTACCACGGCTCCAGGACACGGGACCTGGGCAGGCTTATTTATATGTCACAGTGCTCCAGGGAGTTGGTGGAGGGTTTGAGGGTGACAGTGGGCTATGAACTGCTGGTGTGCCCTGCTTTCTAGAAGGAACTGAGGCCCTTGTTCATGGTGAAACTCAGAGGTGGGAGTGCCCAGACCTGATATATGGCAGTGCAGGCTCCTAGAAGGGGAAAGGAGGTATGACACAGTCCTGGTCCAAGATAGTGTCAGGCTGCCGACAGGCACACACATGCACACATGGGGACAGGGCTGTAGGGCACAAAGATACATGTACACATATGTAAGCACATGCCACACACACAAGGACAAGGTGCAGACACACCTCCCCACAGAGATGGAGTGGACACACACACATCCATGGGGATGGGGTGCAGAACACACATCCACGGTGGCATGATGCGGACACTCATGCAGACACATGGTTTGGTTTGGGTTTTATTTTTCTTTTTGGGTCACACCCGGCGATGCTCAGGGGTTACTCCTGGCTTTGCACTCAGGAATTACTCCTGGCGGTGCTCAGGGGACCATATAGAATGCTGAGACTCGAACCTGGGTCGGCCACATGCAAGGCAAACGCCATACCCACTGTGCTGGTTTGGTTTGGTTTTGAGTCACACCCAAACTGGAGTAGGTTGCACGCAAGACAAATGGAATGACCCCTGGCTGGCTCTAGTGGAGGCCACTGGGTCAGCAGGGAGGGCAGTCACACAGAACAGGCAAGGGTGGGGTGAGCGTCCCCACAATGATGTCACCATTCAGGGGCCAGAGTAACCGTGTGTGTTAAGATGAGAGACCCCAATGCTAAGCCCATTAAGCTGAATTCCTAACTGAAGAGGGGGACCCCCCAGGGGACGGGCCCTCACTGTCTATGTGGGGTCTCTCAGCCAGGACCCATGGAAGAACCTCTCTGTGCCCAGCCCTTTCCAACTCTGGCCCCCATGGTGTCCTTACACAGCCCAGGGCTCCTCTGAGGGTCGCGGGGAGGCGTCCACTCAGATCCTGGCACAAAGCTGTCAGGTCTCTGAATCTGCTTCTTTGGGTTTTGTCATGTGGCAACACCAAGACCAAAGGCCAGGAGAGAAGGACACATATAAACATGCGTGGCAGATCCCATATGACGTGAGTGGAAGGAGCCTCAGAGACTATCTCCAGCCGACACCTGGACCCCCACCAGACATGCGGCTTAGCAAGAAGGCAGGAGCCCACCTGAGGCTCAGGAACTCAAACCGCCAAACCAACAGCGCTGCTTGGCAGCTGTCGCTGGGGTGGAGGGGGAGTGTCACAGCAGAAATGACCACACGGCAAGGCAGTAGGCAGCAGAGAGGCACTGCAATTCCAAGTGACCCGAAAGTCAGACTCCCTCTCCCACAGCAACAAGACACAGGGCAGCTAGCAGGGGGCCATAACTGAACAGTCTGAGGTTTCTGGTGAGATCTGCTACTAACGGAAGCTCATAGCCTTACTGCCAGAGAGCCAAAGCAAACAGAAACAAACCTGTCACTGACAGGAAGGCCAAGCACCAATCACAGCCCAGTCATGAGGGCCGGGCTCAGCAGCAGTGCCCTGGGAGAGTCCAGGGCCAGAGTCCCCAGCATCACAACAAATGTCCACAGCCTTTTGGAGGCTTCAGTGGGTGGCCACTGTGCTCCCATATTGTCCCTGTGCTCCCACAATAGCTCCCATGTTCCCAGTGTCTCCGTGTTCCCGCAATGGCTGTGTGCTCCCACTGGGCCTGTGTCTGCTCCCACAATGGCCCCATACTCCCATATCAGTCGTGTACTCGCACAACAGCCCCATGTTCCCACAAAAGGTCTTGCGGTCCCACAATGGCCCGATGCTTCCATGATGGCCCTGTGCTACCGAAACAGACGACCCACCAGTAGTCTGGGGATTGGCGCTGGGCATGTGACAAAGTGGAGACCAAATGTGTCACAGGCAGAGCACATGTCTATGTGGAAATTGGGAATGTGACAGGCAAAGCACATGTCTGGCAGGGACATAGGCAGAGCACATGTCCAGCAGGAACCAGGTACATGACAGCAGAGCATGTGTCTACTGGGAACCAGGCACCCTGCGTGATATAGCTGAGCACGTGTCTGCTGGACTGCAAGAGGGGCACGGGACAGGGAGGTGCACACGCAGCATCAGGCCCATAGGACACACCCCCACTGACATGGGCACAGGTCTATTGGTGCCCTCCCAGGAAAACCCAAACCTTCTACTTGAGGCAACACCCTGTCTACAATGCACATGGGGATGGGGGAATGGGGCGCCTGCCTCCTACTTGCTTGGCCCCAGTCTGAGAAAAGGCTGCTGAGTCTTGGAAGTCTGACTTGGCATGTACAGATCTCAGCATGCTAGCAACAGGACAGAGAAGGTTCCAGAAGATCTCTTTGTGTGTATATGTGTGTGTGTGTGTCTGGGGGCTTAGGGGCTTCCAGGGGCCCTCCTCATCTCTTCCTCAAGGAGACGCTGATGTGTCTTGCAAGGGTCAGAGAAAACCCAGACGCTTTGCTGTGTCTTCAGGAGATCTTGTGAGGGACCAGGGTTCGAGTTATCTGCTCCTCTCAGGAGACGAGCCTTGGGAAAGGCCCCAACGTGCCCCAGGGTTCTTTACCTGACATGAGCTGGCACTGTGGGTGACCCCCGATGTGCCCTCATGGGTAAGAGGGTAAGGAGAGAATGGACGATCAACATACCCATGAATGCTTCCTGCTTTGAAGCCCTGACATCTGATCAGACATAGATCTCCAAACTAGCTCTGAGCCTTTACCTGTATCACCCTCCGACAGAGTGAATCTCACACACCGGGAATGTTCACCATGGTGTTCTGCTATCTGTTGGTGACCATGTGTGTTTATGACATGTGGAGCATGATGTATGGCATGGGTGGTATAGATGTGTGGAACATATGGTATATGGTACATACGGTGTGTGATATATAAGGCATATATAGTATGTATGGAGTGCATGGTGGTGTATGGTATATATGGCATGTGTGGCTGTACGGTGTGCATGATATATGTGTGATATTATGGTGCGTATGGTATATATAGTACACATGGAATATATGGCAGGTAGGTATGTAAGGTATGTGTAGTATTCATGTGTGACTTTATCTTATGATGGTATATGTGATATGTATGCTATGTATGGCATATATGACACTGTGGGTGTTATATGTGGTATATAGTGTGCATGGTATGTCTGCTATGTGGTGTGTGGGTCTGTGTAGTGTGTGGTATAATGTGGTATGTGTGGGGTGTACGGTGTAGATGTGCCATGTTGGTATGCCAGGGTAGTATATGTCGTTTATGGGTGTACTGCGTGTATGTGTGCTGTGTGGGCATGCCCAATGTGTGAGTATATGGTGTTGGAGTGTGTGGGGTATACTGTCTGTATGTGTGCTGTGTGGGTATGCCCAGTGTGTGTGGTATATCTAGTGTGTGTGTGGATAGACAGTGTGGCATGTGGTATGTGGCACATGTGGCATCCACGGTGAGCTATTCAAGGCACGTGTGTCGTGTGGTCTCCTGGCCGCCAGGCTTCTCTGTGGGATTGGGCGCTGCTGCCTGCTCCTTACTTCCCAGAGGGACTGAGCCAGGTGGGTGCCCTCACCGTGGGGAACGTCAACTGGTGTCCCCATATCCCGTTTCCCTCAGTTCACTGACAGGCGGGGATGCCTAGGCTAGGGACACGCCCTCCTCACGTGCCGTGACGTGTGAACAGCCCCCGGGCTCCCGGCCCCGCGCTACCCGCCGCCCCCGAGACGCTGTGGCCGAAGACCACACCTCCCAGCCTCCCTTGCGGCCGATACCACGTGACCGGAGCTGACCGAGGAACTGCCACAACACAGTGCGCAGGCGCACGGCCGTGGGGGCAGGGCTAGGCCTGGACGAGTGTCCCGGGCTGGCAGAGAGCAGGGACGGGACAATACGTCCCACCAGGGGCGTCCATGCGCTCGAGGAACCACTGAAGGCCCCACGTGGGCTTCTTTGGACTTTGCACCTGAATGATTTGCTGGGAGCCCTAGACTACTGATGAACACTTCAGAAGGCCAATCAAACCTTCACACGGGCCCTAAATAACCTATTCTCATCCAGACTTTTCTAAAATACACTGCAAAGTTTAGGAACGTCTGTTTTTTTATTTTTTATTTTTGGGTTTTGGGCCACACCCAGCGGTGCTCAGGGGCTCTCTGCCTCCAGCTCTGTGCTCAGGGTTTGCACCCAGCGGTGCTCAGGGTGACATGCAGTGCTAGGGATGAAACATGGCCTCTAACACCAATGGATAATAGATACACGGGACAGGAAGATTGCTCCATAGCTGGAAGCCTGCCTCATGAGCAAAGGGGAGAAGGCAGCTGGAATAGAGAAGGGGTCACTAAGAAAATGATGGCTTGAGGAACCGGTAGGGATGGGAGATGTGTGCTGAAAGTAGGTAAAGGTCCAAACATGATAACCTCTCAGTGTCTGTATTGCAAACCATAATGCCCAAAAGTAGAGAGAGAGTATGGGGAATACTGTCTGCCATGGAGGCAGGGGGAGAGTGGGAAAGGGAGAGTATACCTGGGATATTGGTGGTGGGGAATGTGCACTGATGGAGGGATGAGTGTTTGATCATTGTGTGATTGTAACCTAAACATGAAAGCTTGTAACTATCTCACAGTGATTCAATAAAATTAAAAAAAAAAAAAAAGAAGCCATGGCCTCCTGCACTGCAAATCTCTCCCTTGAATATGTCCCTTCATCTGCTCTTGGGGCCAGAGAGATTGCCCAATGGATGGTGCACTTCAGCACTACCGGATGGAGGGCTAACTATACTGGCCTCAAATGCAGTGGGATGGGGTCTTGTTTGCACACACTGAGATCACGGTCACTTGCTCATTGGTCCTGATCACTTTCGCCCTCATCAGCACCACAGAGGCCTGGGTGAGTCTGTCTGAAATAAAGTGCAGAAAGCAAAGCAGAGACCCCCCCCCCCCCCCCGCCAGGCAGCTTCGAGTTCCGGATGCTTCCCACTGGGTGGGCTCATGCCTGCGACCTGAACCCTTTCCTCCAGCTCACCAGCAGAGTAGCCACTAGAGCATGCTGGGTCAGGAACCAGGGCAGGAGCCGGGTGACCATCTGGAAGAGGTCTTAGGGCAACTGGGAAGTCAGGGAGCTTCCTGTCTCCCAGGCATGGTAGTGCAGGGTGAGGTCCCCTGAGCGACTCTTAACTACTGAGTCAGGAGTAACCCCTACATACTGAGTACTGGGCCCAGAGCCAGGAGTAGCCCCTGAGTACTGAGTCCCAAGCCAGAGAAGCCTTTCAGTTCTGAGTGCCAAGACAGGAGTGGCCCCCTGGCGTGGGCTGGCTGGGTTGTGCAAACTTACTCCCCCTGTTGGTAAGATGAACAGAGAGCCCAGGACACCCACCATCTAGAACCAGGACCAGGGCGGCGGGCTGGGGCGCAGAGGCTGCAGGCGAGCAGCTGGTATGCTCGCTGACAGAAGCAGCTGAGGGGTGCAGCCACGCTCTTCCCCACCGAGCCCCTCTGAGCACGCTTACCTTCTTGTCCTCCTTCGTCTTCCGAACGTTCCGGTGGGGACCAAAGATGTTCTGCACCCCGAAGGCCTTCCGGGGCCAGTCCCTCTTCTGGGTGCTGAGCACAGGTGGCCCCAGGCCACCCTCCAGGCGGTAGCGGTCAGCGGGGATCTTGCTCATGGGCGGGGGCAGCGTGCCGCAGTTGACGCTGGACCAGCCATCAGTGGAGTCTGTGTAGGACTCCTGGTCACTGGTGTGTCCGCACTGCCACTCCTGGAGGACATGGACCGGGAGCCACCGCTGGCCCAGCCCACCACTGGGGCCCACGGCGGCCCTCCTGGCCGGGGGCACAGAGCCGCGCAAGGCAGTTGGGGGGCCCTCCCCATGGGAGATGGGCCCCAAGTGTTTGCTGAAGTCCCGGCCCCTGCTGGCCAGCGGGGCCGGCTCGTCAGGCTCATGGCAGAAGGCGCCGTTCCAGTGGGCGCCCCAGGGCTGGGGGCTCCGTCCGCCTGCAGGAACTGCTGCTTCCCAGGAGCCGCTGCCCACGCCGTGCCGGCCTGCACCACTCCCTCCCAGGTCCACCACCAGCACCCGGCTGCTCCGCTCGTCCTGCTGGAAGTTTCCGATGCCACTGTCGCTATTGCTGCTGGTGCTGGCGTTGTGCTGCGCCTCGCCGTCCCCGTCGGCAAAGGCCCGGGCCCGCACGCCCTCCATCAGCTCGCCCATGTCCCGGTACAGCACGGACACGAACTGCAGCACGGGCAGTGAGGATGCCGGGAACTCCAGGCAGCCGCTGGTGTCGGGGTCGGCCGTGCACTCGAAGCCAAAGCGCCGGGCAATGCCCTGGTGGATCTTGTGCTGGAACAAGTCTGGGTCCACCATGAACACGTGGCACGAAGTCTGCAGGGTGCCCTCCTCCTCTGGCACCAGGCGGCCCACCTCGCCCGCCTGCATGGTCACCAGCCCAAAGAGCCGCCTGTCGTCGGGGCAGACAGCGCTGAAGGCCAACTTCTCAGCCGGGTACTCGGCCAGCACGGCCGCCCTGTCGGTGCACAGCCGCACGCGGTCGTGCAGCACCTGCATGGCCACCAGCGAGTGGATCTTCTGCTCTGCGCGCAGGCGCCGCAGGCAGCCGCGGATGGCCTGCAGGCTGTCAGCCTCCAGGCTGCAGCCCGTGGACGGAAGCTCTATGGAGCCCAGGTAGCCCACGACCATGGCAACATTTAAGATGCTCGCGTTGAGGCCGAGGTCGTCAGGAGGCTCCAGCCCGGAACCGAACACGGAGTCGTGTGGGATCCGTGACAGCTCCTCCTCAGGCAGCTGCCCAGGGCCAGGTGGTGGGGCGCACGCCGCCGACTCGGACAGCGACCTGGGCTTCAGCCGCGAGGGCGGGTGCTGGAACATCATGCTGAGGATCCTGCCCGACTGCATCTCCTCCACCACTCGCTCTGCACGGTTGATGCCAAGGGCCTTGGAGTCCAGTCTGGGCTTCGGCCGGCCCTTCCCCTCATAGAGGCCGAGCTCCTCATCGCTGGAGCAGGACTCGGGGTGCCCGGCGCCTGCGGCCACCACCATGTGCAGCACACCCGAGCACTTGCCGATCAGCTTCACCACGTCTTCGTGCGACGCCCTCCTCACGTTGATGTCATCCACGGCCAGGATCTGGTCTCCAGTGCGGAGGCCCACAAGGTCGGCGGGGCCCCCCCGCATGACACAGCTGAGCACACACGGCGCCTGCCCTGACAGCGTGAAGCCATACCCGGCACGGCCCCGTGCCACCTCCACGCTCCGCAGACGGGGGGCCGCCTCCCCGGACCGATGCATGGTCATGTGCCGCCTCACGGTCCCTGCCGGGCCATGCTGCACACACGTCCAGTGCCCTGAGGGAGATAAACACAAAGGTGGTCACCAGAGCACCAGCCAGGTCACTAAAGCTCACTGACTCCTGACACAGAAGATCACTGGGACCAGGGATGCGACTCAGTGGCAGGGCACTGGCTCGGCACGGGGTTGCTCCCCTGGTACCATAGGAAAAAAGGCGATTCACGGATAGCATGTCCCCAGGCCTGTCGAGCATCACAGAGAGCCACTGTGATGGAGACACACCCCTCTCCACAGGGAATTTTGGGTCACGATAGCGCCCGGGACTCTCCCCTATAGCACTGCCCCTGTCCCCCACTCCAGCACTGGCCACTGGGCCTCCCACAGCCAGGATCTGCCCTTGTGGCACTGCCCCTTCCCCATGACACTGACCCCACCCATGGTGCTGGCCTTGACCCCAGTCCTGAAGCACTGGCCCCACCCCCAGCATGAGACTCAGCAGACAGGGAAGGCCCCTCCTCTGCCACTCTGCACCCCACAGTGCTCAGTACAGTTGCTCTCAGCCCCCCACAGCTCCCAGGGTCATACAGGAAGCCCCAGACCAAGCCCCTGCAGGCTCCTGTCTCCCCACTTAATCTCCCTCCTCACCCAGTTCTTCCTGACTGGACTGGACGTGGGCTGATGGAAGAGCAGAGGGTTAGGCGGCAGGGCATAATGGTAGCCCCCATCACTGGGCTGCCTGTCTGCACCCCCAGGACCATCGGAGTTCACCTGCTCACCGGGAATGTGCAACAAACAAGGCTGTACTCATACCAAGATCATGAGAAGGGTGGCAGAGATGCAGCCCTGGTGCAGTCTGAGGAAATAGGGAGCTACCAGACCCTTCTCCAGTGATGGAGAACGCCCTGGGGCATTCACTTGGGAACCCAGAGACGGTGCACTCAGCATCCCTGTGCGGTGACAGGGCGCTCACTCAGGGTCCCCATGTGGTGACAGGGCACTCAGAGTTCCCATGCAGTGACAAGGTGCTCATTCAGGGTCCCTGTGCAGTGACAGGGTGCTCACTTGGGGTCCTGCAGTGATAGGGCACTCACTCAGGGTCCCAGTGTGGTGATAGGGCACTCACTTGGGGACCCCACAGAGACAGGGCGCTCAGTCAGGGTCCCCATGCAGTGATGGGGCACTCACTCAAAGTCCCCATGCAGTGATGGGGTGCTCACTTGGGGTCTCCAGCAGTGTGTGGTGGCACTGCTGTGCTGCCTTGCAGGTCCCTCAGCACTCACACTGGCAGGGCAGATGTGGCTTCAGCACAGGGCACAGAGCACTGTGCAGCAGAGGCCCCGGAGGGCCCCCCACAGCCGCACCCACACAGAGAAGCTGCACCCAGCCGGTGACTGGATAAATAAGGGGGTGGTGGACTGGTAGATGGGCGGGTACATGAATGCATGGAAGGATGCATGGAAGGATGGATGGATGAGGGGGTGGGTGGACTGGCAGACGGGTGGGTAGATGGATGCATGGGTAGTGGATGAACTGATGAGTGGGTGGCTGAGTGAGTGGATGAGCAGGTGGATAGCCTAAATTCTTTAGTCAAGGTTTGGGCTGGAGCGATAGCACAGCGGTAGGGCGTTTGCCTTTCACACAGCCAGCCCGGCTGAGCCGGGTTCGATTCTTCCGCCCCTCTCGAAGAGCCCGGCAAGCTACTGAGAGTATCTCGCCCGCACGGCAAAGCCTGGCAAGCTACCTGTGACATATTCAATATGCCAAACACAGTAACAAGTCTCAAAATGGAGACGTTACTGGGCCTGCTTGAGCAAATTGATGAACAACGGGAGGACAGTGGCAGTGACAGTGATCAAGTTTTGTCCAGTGACATCTCATTGGTTAATTGGTCCAAATGTAACAGGCCCTTGAACTTACCAAGGGCAGGGCAGGGTGGATGAAGCCACAGTAGAGGGAAGCTGAGGCCACGGTCGAGGAAAGCAGTCAGTATGGTGGGATTGTGGGGAAGGAATACTGTAAATGTGAAATTCTGTCATGACAGTATTATAAATCACAGTGCTCCAAATAAATAGATATAATCAAGTAATAACCCAGGAAAAGTATTGTTAATATAACAGACCCTGACCGAGAGCCACAGAAAGATGAGACCCTCAGAGTTGCCAGGAGCTGAGCAGCTTCCAGAGAGCGACGCATCCCCCACAGAGCAGAGCCCACGGTGGTGCGGAAACCAGCACAGGCCTTGAGGCTTGGGGTTGGGGGTGGGGGTGACATGCCCGGTAATAAACATGGGTGGCAGAAGGCAGAAGACTGCATTGGCCACGCTTCCTACCGGCGGCAGCCTGTACCCAAGTCCCCAGAGGAGTAAGAGCCCCCATGAGCTTGTCCCCAGGACCTGCCGAAAGGCACCTGTCCAATCTGGCCATGTCACTGCTGACCGCCACCAGCCACACGAGGGAGGCTGGAGTGAGCACCAGGCTAAACTGGTCCCATCCCCAGCTGTCTCCCCTGGGAAGCGGCTAATGCCATCAGGCAGAAGCTGACATGGACCCTGCCCTAAGCTAATGTCACCATGCGGGCGGCTGGAAAAACAGACGGAGGGGTAGGTGTGCTGCAGGCAGTGTGCCCATGGGTACCCACTCCCCGTCAAGATCGGTGCCTCCTGAGTGGGGGCAGTGGTCCCTGGCACCAGCAGCATTGTGCTTGGCACGGGGTTGGGCCCCCTCTAGGGAACACCCTGGAACTGGACAGCAGCAGCTGAGAGGTTCCAGTGGTCCTGGGCCGTGAGCTGCTCACAGGAGGGCTGGTCACGGGTGCTGGGACACAGTTGTGCCCTTTCCTGCCCACAGCCGGGGCCGAACCTGGAGGTGAAGACAGTTTATGGGCCCCGAAGAATGCCGCTCCCCTGCCACCCCTGCATGGCTGTCATCAGCTCAGCCAGCAGCCGGCTCCCTCGGCCCTGATGGCGTGCACACGTAAGTACTTGCACACGTACACACAGGCACATGTACAGGGACACATGCCGGTATACGTGTAGGTACACATGCGGGCGCATGTGCAGGGACATATGCATGTACATGTGTAGGTATATGTGCAGGTGTATGTGCAGGTACGCACGCAGGTATATGTGCAGGCACACGTGCAGGTACACACACAGGCGCATGCACAGGTACACAAGCAAGTACATGCACAAGCACACACAGGCACACGTGCAGGTACATGTGTAGGCATACACATAGGCACACATGCAGGTACACGGAGGCTGTGGACAGGCCATGTGCCTGTGGCCTTAGCCGAGTGTGGTGCAGATGCAGCCCCGTAGCCAGTTCTGTCAGTGCGAGGACGTGGTTATCTGGCCCATAGACGGGGCGGCGCTGAGGAATCCATGAGAGCTGGCACAGGGAGGAGTGACCTCAGGCTCCTGGGCAAGGCCCACCCTGAGCCCCGCAACTTGCAGGCCCCATGGGGACGAGTTAGCATCCCTAGGGAGGTGGGGAACTGCTCCCAGCACCCCACCACAGGCATCCAATGTCCAGGGGCGCAGAGCCCCCACCAGTAAGAGCCTGGACAGGCATGAACCCAGGGGGAGTGCCGGAAACCTAGGGTGCTTCTCAGAGTCCTGGGCGACGGGACCCCTTGGCACCCCCAGGCTACCCAGAGAGGGCCAAGTCAGTGCTGGTGGGTGTGCGTAGGGAGGGGCGCGGGCAGCTGCCCTGGCCTGGGGGGTTCTGCATAAGCAGGGGCGATGGTGGGGGGGTGTGGTCGTGAGCTGTGAGGGGCAAGGAGTCATGGAGGTGCCTGAGGCCCACCGCAGTCGGCACGAGAAGGGACCGCACCTCCGGCACCCTCATCTCCTGAGGGCCAGCGTCATGACTGTGACGCCTGAAGTCAACCCTCACCACAGCCAGTGCCCCACTACAGTCACCTGGCCCCCTGGGGTGAGGGCGCCTGACAGAGCGGAGAGGAGCTGGAGGTGAAGCAGAGACGTGCGCCTGCCACGGGCCCCCACCCCCAGCCCAGCACGATGTGCCACTTGAGCAAAGGAGGAGTCTACGGCTCGGCCCAGCCAGTGGCCCTGGGCAGGCAGAGCGGCAGGACTCAGCCCACAGCACAGTTCTGGGGACTCTGAGCCCCCTTCTCACCTCAGCACACCAGCAGCACACAGACGGACAAGCTGAACGGACAGAGACAGGAGAGATGGACAGACAGACAGAGGGTGTCCGGAAAGGCTGGGCTCACCAACCTTTGGCTGCCCTGGAGTGCGTGGGAAGCTGAGAGCCCAGCGGAAGCCCAGGGTACCCGGTTTTCTGTGTGGGTTTCCTGTAAATGTCAGTCCCTGAGGCTGTGACATTTCAGTCAGGGAGTGGGTTCCAGTGTTCGGGAGGGGGGCACGGTCTGCGGCACCAGACCCCACAGGCACACAGCTCCCTGAAGACCATCCCAACCTGTGGGATCTGGCTGTGGTGGGGGGGGTGTGGGGGGGGTCAGAGCTGGTACACATGGCCTCTTGCCACCGCAGAGCAACTTGGAGACACAGCTACAGGGCAAGAAGATCCAGCGGAGTGCAGGAAGCCCAGCACTGGCTTCAGCCTCCGCCATCCCGGGCCTGGCTCAGGCTGCAAAGGAAGGGAGGCCCCCACCCGGCCCATGGACAAGCACCTGCCAGCCAGACCCCGTCGGCCTGGCACAGTGAAGCTCTGAATGGTGGGACCGGTTCACCATCAGCAGCCCTGGAGACTCTCAGCCTTCAGCCCAGAATGTTCCCAGCAAGCCAAACCGTCAGGGGGCTGGCAGATCGGGGCCACAGTCCTAGAGCAGGGCACAGGGCACAGGGCGAGGGAAGCACAGAAGCTGAGCCGACGCTGAAAGGGAGCCTCGAGAGGGGGTGCAGCCCTCGCATCCGCTCAGGCCTGCAGAAACTGGAGCCGGCTCCTGAGGGGGTGGGCACAGTCGCAGCAGGCGGGCTAGGGAGCCCTCTGCCTCCTCTGGGCCCAGCGCCAGCCACACAGGTACCACACAGCCTGGTTGCGAGAAGGGAGCCCTGGGGGCCGCAT